CTTTCCTTAGCTAGACCCTTGTGGAAATTTTTCGGACTTTTTTCAGAAAAAAACTTCTAGACTTTTAAAGACTTTTTCAGAGTTTTCGAGGTTTTTTGAAAAAAAAGTCCGAAAAATTTTCATAAGGGGAACTCTGAGCGGTAGAGTTCCGGAAATGACACACACTGCTACTTCTGATATCGTGCGGAATGCACTGGCTAGTCTTACAGCGCTCAGTCTATATACTGGTCCTGTTTTTCTCCATGATTCTTGCAACTTCAGCGCGTCTGCCCAAATGGATATTCCATATGTGAGCACCGATGTGACAACTGATGATAGTAGTAGTCTCCTGCTCTGCTTTGGGCCTCCGACGTTCGGCATCAGTTGTGCGAGACTAGCCCTCACTACTGACGCTTTGGCACTGACGTGTTCCACTTGCTGTTTAAAGTTGAGACGGGCATCAAGCATCACTCCCAAATATCGGATATAAAGTTGTGATGTGATTTCTTGTTCGCCGACTTTCAGCTTGATGGTCTCTAACACTTTTCTGCTGGATATAAGCACTGCCTCAGTTTTGTGTGTAGCCAGATGCAGTTTTACTGTATTCATCCACTGTGTGTGTGTGTGTGTGTGTGTGTGTGTGTGTGTGTGTGTGTGTGTGTGTGTGTGTGTGTGTGTGTGTGTGTGTAAACCTCTTATAACTTCTGAACGGCTTGACCGATATGATCGCAGTTAGTGTCATTTGAAAGGTCTTCGCCAAACTTAGATTTCCTGTAAGTTGGAACCGATTCGGACCAGTAGATTTCGAGAAATTGTAAGAAAAGTGAAAAAAAAGTTGTTTCTTTTTCATTTTTTTTTAATATCTCCGAATTGGCTGAACCGATCGGTCTCAAAAACTAATCAGCTTTTAACCTTGAAAACCCCCATCGATCGCCACCAAAAACGTCAGAATCGGTTGATGCGTTCGTGAGATATCGTTGTCGAAAAAAATCGAAAAAAGTATTTTTTTGTAATAACTTCAAAATTTTTCATCAGATCATTTTTTTTGTTATGAATTATTTATAGAGCTCAAAAAACTATATTGATCGCCGCCAGCCGCGTGAAAATCGGTTGATACATTCAAAAGTTATAGCAGTTTAAAAATTCTAAAAATCGTGTTTCATCAAACGTTGACAAGAGTTTTGAGCTCGGCGAGCTCAAAATAACACATAAATTGTATTTTTGAGCTCTAAGAGCTCAAAACGTCATAAGTGCAATTTTAAGCGCTTAGGTATGGAATTAGCGGGAAGTTGCAGTGATGGCCTTCAGGGTCAACCGTTTTCCTAATTTTTTTCGTCAACGATAAATACTAACTATTGAATGTTTATATATTAATAATTCCTGCAATAGAAGAAATGTTGTCTTGATTAAAACAAATGTCCTCGGCTTAAGAATATTTTTAGAGTAACGACGAATATCTTGATTTTAATGAATTATCGTCTTGATATTTGACACTTTATTTCAAACATTTTACATATGTGTTCAGTGAACAGGCCCAGCCGCGATGAAGTCGCTCCTCGGGGACTCCCAAATTCACGAGCCGCACCTGTCAACCGCTAGTTCCCGCTAAAACTAACCGCCTGCACAAAGCTTAGCTTGCCCGATCACGCCATGTCTCGACGGTGTGATTGGCTGATTGCTCCGCAAACATGCGCAGTCAGCCTTCTTCCTGAAGCTGACGAGAAAGAAGAGACATTATTATTATTATTATGTTTCGCTACAACGTAATTGAGTCTAACGCATCGCTATCCCGCTAAATTAATTCGCTTGTATTATAAAATTCCGCTTTTTCGCTTAATTGATTATTAATCCGCTTTAATGAATTGTGCTTAATTTATTTTAAGTCTGTTTCAGATAATTTGTGTTATTTGTGCAGTAATTTACCGCTTTCTTAATGCCAGCTTTGTGTTCAACCACGTGTCAACCGGCTTCGCTTTATTACATACGCTTTCATTAACTTATCTGCTTTATTAACAATAATCCGCTAATTGATTGAATAAATATTAAGTGTATATTTAGTAAATAAATTTCTAGTTCACATTGTTAATAATATTTCCGCGTTTTAATTGAGATATCCAGACCAAAACCTGATCCTTAGTTTTTCCGCAATTACATCATTTTACAATATGTATAATCAAATAAATTCAAATTATTTTCAATCAATACTTTTTATTTTTTCATTGAAACATAAAATATTTAGGTTTATAAAATTCAATTTCTTCACCCAAAAGATATTTGACTTACCTCCTCTAAAACGAGCGAATTCAACTCAGGATGCGAACGTGATGAATTCCATATTTTTCTTTATGGGCTCCTATAGATTCCCATATAATCTCATATGAATTTCTTTCATGTATAGAGTTTTCTATAAAATTGTGTTATTCACTCATTCATTAACTTTTTACTTACCCCCTGTGTATATCAATCAAACATTAGTTCATAAATGAGCAAAACTGGCTTTTAGAACATTAACAGTAGTTTATTGTGTAGCATTTACCCCATATGGGATAAAACAAGAGAATTTTTGACGACGGTGAGTATTCACAGTCCGTGTAAAGCACGGCTTATCATTGTCATATTGGCTTATCATATTTTTCGTATCATTTGTATTGAAATGAAGTTCTAACGTCTAAAGAAAACCAGTACTTGTAGCCGAGCGGTTAACGGGCTTGACTTCGAACTACGGGTACTGGCCAGGCATGGGTTTAAGTCCCATCATGGTCGAATAATTTTCGCTATGCGCCAGGTTAATTTTCGATTGACTTCGACTGTGGGGACTTGGCTCATTGCCGAGCAAACATTGGCTATGATATTCATAGAGGCCAGCTGGACTACACCAGCTAGAGAAAAAAAAAACGTCTGAAGAATTTCCGTTTTATAATGACCAGAAGTAATTTTAATAGATAACGTTCGTCTAAAATTATTTTTTCACTTGGCTCAACGTTGATTTTTCAAATTTTATTGCAAGTAATGTGAGAAAATAATTTTATAAAACTACAAAGTGAGCCTTTGCCACCTTGATGATTTTATGCCATTTATAATCTTGTAATTCAAACTAAAGATGTATTTATACATAATTATATGAAATCATTGATGAGTATATTCAATGTCGATCATGATGTATATAGATGATTATATTGATTATAAATATATAAGTAATTATGAATATCATATAAGTATAAATGTACCAAATAGTATACAAATTCTACACAAATTAAAATAATTGAGTTTTATTGAATCAAGTAAAAAAGTAAGTTTTCTCAGTTCACAAATTTTTCTATTCGATTCAAGATAATGAAATTCTATGAAACGATTTTCTAGATTTAAGATTTTTTTTCTCTTGAATCATGAGAATTTTTTCATCATTGTATGAATAACATACAATTGTACATGGGTCATTCCATGTCAAATCAACAAATAGTTGGATCGACCCCTTTCGATTTGGACAAATTTTGGTCAGGAGTTTTCTTTTATCATATAACGAAGTTCTACCAAAGGAAAAAAAATAAAAAAAATTTTTTCAGAAAATATGCAAATTCAAAATTTCGCAATTTTTCCACTTTTTCAATTTTGTTTTTGTAATATTTCGATCGCTATTATAGATACAGGAATGGCCTTTCGGTTGTTTGAAAGGGGACACTTAGGGCTATTAAAAAAATATTGAAAAATGCCAAATTTGTCAAATCTTGAATTTTTGAAAATCGCTAAAAATGACGATCGAAGTTAAAATTTTGGCTTAACTTTCCGCTAAGAAAATCGAAGATTTGCAAAAATCGGGAAGTTATTGTTTTCACTCCGTTTTACAAAAATCGAGTTTTCATCAGATCTCGACGTTTTAAGGTCATAGGAAGTTTCCCTGACTACCCCTGCGACGTTGTCACTATGTCTGTGTGTGTGAGTGCGCGCGCGCGTGTGTGTGTGTGTTACACACAGCGCGCTCGAGGAGCTCAAAAGCATAGAAAAGCTATCTCTTTCAGCTCGTAGAGCTCAAAACAACACATAAATTGTATTTTTGAGTCGGAAAGCTCAATTTTAAGCAATTTTAAGGACTTAGGTATGGAATTAGCGGGAAGTTGCAGGGATGGCCTTCAGGGTCTACCGTTTTTCTAATTTTTTTGTATAATACCTTGTACTGATCTTAAAAGATCCTGAAATTTTTAGAAGGGTGTTTTTTTTTTTCAAAATTATGAATTTTTGAATTTTAAAAAGAATTTTTTTTTCTTTTTTTTCAACTGTTAAATAAGGTAAAGTAATGCAGATACATAGTATTGTAATTTTGAGGATTAAAAAATTAAATTTTATGACGCGGAAATATTAAATAATAAATTAATTTAAACTTTTTCTTACAACGCTGGTCGAAAGTACGGGGTTCCCGCTGCGATTTCACGGCAGAAAGCCTCACATTTATGCCGTGGTCGAGTCGCGCATGCGCTCTACGACGGGGAGCCGAAAAAATGTATTCATGCACTGACAACGAGACATGAGGCGGCAGAAAGTCCGAAAGTCGTTAGTCGCGCTTACTCTATCACTTATGTATACAAGCCTAACCTTACTTGTGATTGTTATGAATGTATCTGTCTTGTTGTGTCAATGATTTTAGGTTGAAACTAAATTAATTACAGAAAATGAATATTTATTTCAATGAAATGAGACTTGTTAAATATTTAAATTACAAAAAAAAAAACAAAAAATATTTATTCTGATAGATGTTCTCAAATAAATAAATTCATTATTGAACAAGTAATTATTTGAAAAAATACACAAACAGATTTTTTTTTTAATTTTTTTTTCTATGCATTTTACGATTATGATTTCATTTTTCTTTTTTTTTTTTTTTTTTTATTCTTAAAATCAGAGTTAATCTATACATATATAATGAAAGTGGGTTTCGTAGACTGCCAATCACGCAAAAACTACTGAACGTATTGATATGGGACTAGTACCATTCGACGCGGAATGAATTGTAGATGGTTATAGGCTACTTATTTTTCGAATTCCAGATCGATTGTACTACTAATTGCGTAACGATCGACAAAATTTTTAAGTGAATCTAGTTCCATTAAATATTTTAATTTCAACACGTTGTATAGAGTTTCATTTTTATGACAATGAGTTACAATCCAGCTTAAATTAATATCAGCCTCTAAATTATTGGGATAAAGTAATTGCTTAACTTGAACCAACTCATCAACCAATTCAAATATATGGTTGTCTTTAGGATTTTGTAAAGGTTCACAAATTGTACGATGTGACATTACTCCAATTATCATGAGCACTGTAGTGATAACTATCAAGATACTTGTCAATAAGAATATTATCCATACTGCTATCATTAAAAAACGCCCACCAGTTCCTTTGTTACAACAATCATCGCCAAATCCATCAGGACGCTTCCCACAAATACCACATAATAATCCAAATGTTAGCAGTGTGAATATCGCTAATAACACACTAGATACACCAAGACCAAAATAATACCTGCAACAAAGAAATTATTAGCATTTTTACATATTTGATGTTAAAAAGAAAGCATGCTCCCTCCATAGCGAATTTTTATCAATTTAACAATTATTGAACTCTCACGACTGGAAATTCGTTTCCGCATCTGGGTATTGATAATGTATAAAGCTAACACATCAAAAAATTTAGAAATTGAATGTGTAACATGAAGCGGTTTTTTGTATTTGAATTCGCTATGGCTCACATAAACTATAAAGTAACCTGTAAATTGAGTATTCTTCAATATTATCTTGAGCAATTTTTAAATGAGGAATATAAACTTTAGTAATCTCCTTATTAATTTTATCAATAAGTGAAGTTATGTTTTTAGATGCGCTAGCCAATGAGCGCCCAGCATTTTCAATACTTGCACTAACAACTGGAATTGTTTCATTTACAGCCTGTTGAATATTTCTTTGTATTTTTAGAAAAGTTTCTCTGCCTTGACTGACTTCCGATACGATATTTCCTTCCATTAGAGATGTTATATTACGTAGTGCTAAAGTTACATCAGGAAGCTGAAAAATATTTGCATATTACTATCAATTAAAAAAATATTACAATTTAATATGATATTTAAATAAGAAAATTGAAATTAATAACTTAAAAAAAAAAAAAAAAAAGTAATAAAATAATCTATAATATGAATATTTTGTCACCTTCGGAAAGTATTGGTCCATATACTGCATGAAAAAAATATATTATAGACTTTTAATTCAAAAAGTATCTATACTTCAAATTGTAAATCGTAAATTTAAAAAGTAAAGTTTCATGCATAAGTCATTTATTTAAATTTGAAATCGTAATGATTAAAGCCAGTCGAAATAAAACAAATTCACCAATCTTAACTGATAGGGCATTTTTAACTGTCAAATTAATACTACATTTTGAGACTTACAACAGATAAAAAAATCTAGAAAACGGTTGCCCTAAAGGCCATCTCTGCAACTTCCCGCTAATTCCATATCTAAGCGCTTAAAATTTCACTTTTATAATTTATGACGTTTTTGGCAACATTCCACGCAGTTTTTTGAATTATATGATATACTTTTGAACACAAACTGATCAAACCGAAAATTTTAGAGAAATTTGAAAAATTCACTTTTTCCGAATTTTTTCGACAACGATAACTCACGAACCAATCAACCGATTTTCACGTTCTTGGCGACGATCGACGTGGTTTTTTAGTCTCTAATAATTGTTCAATTTCATCAAAAACGATCCAAAAAGAAAAGTCGAAGTTATGTAAAAAAAAACACTTTTTTCGAAATTTTTCATTTTTGATAACTCCCGAACGAATCAACCGATTTTGACAGGACTGGTGGCAATCGACGTAGTTTTTTAAGTTTAAGAGCAGACTTGTTTTTTTGGATTGATCGGTGGAGCCGTTTAGAAGTTATTCCAAAAAAAACCATTTTTTGAAAATTTCACTTTTGAGATTTCTTAAAATCTAGCGAACCGAATTGATTCAAATTTTTCACACACACCGAACACACACACACACACACACACACACACGCGCGCGCGCGCGCTTACATACATATATACAGCCGCATGGACACCATCGCGGGAATAGTCAGGGAAGCTTCCTAGGACTTCAAAATGTCGAGATATGATGAAAACTTGATTTTCGCAAAACGGGGTCAAACCAATAACTTCCCGAATTTAAAAAAATTTTCAATTTTTCTTAGCGGGAAGTTAAAAAAATTCTCACAAAACTACAATGATTTTAACACCAGGTATTAATTTAAAAATAGTCTTGTTGGGTCTGACCAATCAGGCATTGAAAATTTGAATTTGAGTGATACGAAGAAATTATTATTTTCAAAATTTGCCTTAGTCTGATATCATCTACATTAATCACTTACAACATAATACAATATAATATGTAACATTAATTCACTTAAAATAATATGATTTGAACTTTGTCACCTTATAATTTCAAGAAAATAAGTTAATGTAACTTTTTAAATTATTAATGACCCATATTTGGATAATGGTAGTTAAAACAAACAATAAAAGAAAGAAGACAAGTTTTTACTCATTTATAATGTAATATTCAATAGTTTTGTAAAGAAATATCTGATAATAAAATTATTAGAATAGATAAATTATATATAATATAACTCGGCACGTGTCCAGCCTAAATCCCACAATTCTTAACGGATCTTAATGGAACTTGGCATGTATATTCTTCAGACAATAATCAAAGTCATGTTCAAATATGAGCAAAATCGATCCGTTAGATTAGGAACGGTAGGCAATTTGAAATTTTCAGAAATTAAAAATTTCGTACGTTCACTGCTTTTTTTCAAATAACTATTGAACGTAATTGACATATTCATTTTTCGTAAAAAATTCATGTGAAAGCTTATGAAATAAGCTTTAATTTCTATATTTCCACGAGTTTCTAAGATGTAAATTTTTCATAATTTTGATAAAATTTTGCCATTGCAGTCATTTCGCGGATTTTACTAGTGTTGAAGAAAGACGAAAAATTTATTTCCATTTCGGCTGTCGAATGGCTTTTTTCCACTGTTGTCACGTAATTTTCCAATTTCTCAGTCCTATTGATTTTCAGAATTGTATTACTATTTGTATTCAAAAATCTGCATCAAATACCATTAATCGAATAAAAATTAAAAAAAAAAACACCCGCTTAAAAGATATCATTTAAAAATTTCAAGAAATGTTTTTCTCAGGTGATAACTATAAATATATTTTTGAGCATTTTCAACTAAAAAATGTGTGATAAATTTCACACATAACCTGCACAGTCAAAAAAAACAATTAAATTACTTCAATTACTATTACCCACCTTGTCGAAATCAACTTGTATTGACATCTGATTTATTTTATAATCATGTAATACTTGCTGACACTCATGATTTTTACATCCTGTTAATGTTTCTAGCAAATTTTTTTTAACACCTCGAACAACTATAACAAAAATAATATAATTACAACATAAAATCACTTAGAATCAAATAAAACAATAAACGATAAATTAATATAGTACCAATATCTAATTGACTCGCATTAGTTCTCAAGTCCCGGGTGAGTTTATCTATCATTCGAAGATCTTGTCTAATAGTATCTAAACCAGAAACTATTTCATTTAAATTGGTCAGTGATACAGCATGAGAATACGCTGCAAGTTCCTCGGTGACAATTTTTCCACTTGCTTGAAGAATATTGTTGAGCGTAATTTCAAGTTCATTGTAATTTGTTGTAAGTAAAGTGCTTATTTGTTTTTTAGTTGTAGTAAGATACAACTCAACATCTTTCAAATTAGTTTTAGCTCTGCTCGGTAAGTTTTCAATACCTTCTTGCATATATTCGTTGGTAACAAAAGCACAAACAACTCCAAATCTAAACAGATAAGTATTATTATTATTAATTGTAATTACAGTTAATTATTACATAATTCATAGAATCGTTAATCATTGTCATATTTACAATATAATTGTTGACACTCCAATAAGAAGAATGTTGAGAAATACTTTCCGACAATGATCATATTTTTTGTCAAATGGTTGACTTCTAGCCCCACAATGACCAGCACATCGACAACAACAGAAAAATAAACCAATACAAGGAATGATAGCTGCGAAAATTATTCCAATAATAGCAAGTCCACCTAGTCCACCATAATGAGTTACTAATATTTTCCACTGTTTTACAGGATCTGCAAACTCCAACCATCCATTCTTCACTGTGATTAGCCCTATAAAAATAAAAATATATAATTAATAATGCTTTTGAATTTTATTCAAAATAAAAATCTAAAAAATGTGAATTATATCAAAAACTTGAAATTTTTATAATGCCGGCACACAAAAAAAAAAAAGTTGTCTGTACATTGGATCGGACCCACTTACGGGCATGAATTTCGACCCGCTGAATCCGAATTTGAAGTACGTTTGGCCCGGTCACCTTCCAGTTTAGAGTAAAATCCAAAAAACCTCAAAAAAAGGCAAAAAATTGCGAAAAACTGCAGTCACAGCGATGAGTAAAATTTTGTGGACCCAGATCAAGTATGATTTTTATGTATTTCAATTCACTGAATCTGAATCTGAACGTTAATTAGCCCGTTGAGCCGTCAAAATTTGAAAAAGTAGGAAAAAACCGAAAAAATTGCAATAAATCATGAAAAATCGAAATTATCGAGATAAAAAAATTTTTTGGATTCAGATTGAGTATGTTTTTTATGTACTTTGTTTCACTGAATTTGAATATGAAATCTTGTTTCTTTGAGGTTTTAAAATTAAAAAAAAATCTCAAAAAACCGAAAAAATCGGGAAAATTACAATTATAAAAATGAGAAAAAAATCTATTAAACACGATTGATAAAGACTTAGGTGCATTTTCATAGATTGAATATGATCTTAGAATTGAAAAATTGACAAAATTTTTAAATCTTTAAAAAATAGCATATAAGGAGGAGGTACGAAGCCATATTTTCGAATTTCAGACAGATGTTCGTTTGTATCCAATTTTTTTATCTTCAAATGATCTACGCAGTGGATCCGGGGTTCCTTTTACGTTTTCTGTTTTCATCTGGTGTTTCTCTTGTTAGCATCCAGCAAAAATCTGACATCATGTTAACATTCTAATTTACTTGATACCTACCCTCCATTTCATTTAAGTCTTAATAAAATCGTTTTCCCTGTTCTTTGCTGTAGTGTTCAATATCTTCAGGAAAGTGGTCGACGTGAGAATCCATGTAGTATAGTTTGAGGTTGTAACGTTACATTTTATGTCGCGTTACAGTACCCTGGTTAAAAATACTGATTGAAAAGAATTGAGAAGCGGTCACTCCATGCAAACTGTATATCTATATATCGACGGTCTAATTAGCAATTGGTCTAACTCCTTATGTTTTAGACGGTGATTTTTTAACATTTTGATGTAGCAATAGTCCAATTATGAACTATTTTATAATTGGAGCATTTCAGTGGCAGGTAATTGGAGTATTTCAGTAGCAGGTGGCATGAATGTAGTGGGGGTACGGTGAGAGGCAGTCTGGCTGGAGTAGTGAAAGAGTAAGGATTGTTTTGTGTGGAAGTCTAGATTTATGAAAGAGTCTTGTGGAGGTCCTCGTAGAGGACAGACGTACCGTCGCTGCTAGGCAGCGTTAGATGAGTACCGTGAAAAGAAGTTAGTTACAAGCTCTCGTAGAGTGAGCATCGCGTTGGAGAGTTAAGTTAGTCTCTCGTATCGGAGCTGGCGTGCCTCACGCTTGCTATTACCGTAGACAAATGGCCGGTGCCATTGTCTTTGTTTCGTGTTCGTTTGAGACCGCTTCCGCGATATTTTTAATATCGATTTATTTTATTTTACCGATTAATAAGGTTGAGTGTTAGTTCAAAAGTACCGGTTATTGTACTAGATATCGTTTAGTTCGGTTTTGTAAAGAAATTACTTCCTCTGAAAGGACGAATCACGACCCTCTCTCCATAACCAGCATAACTGAGCGACACCGAGGTATTCCGTTACCTTCGAGGCTGCTTTTGGTCTTCTGGGGACATAAAAATTAAGTTATCGTATCCCGGTTGCCGATACCGGTGAAACAAAAGTCGGCTGGCGCCTGTCGGGGTTCCTGGAGGTGTCGCCGAAACCGCCAGGGTAACAAGTCTTGGTTTGCCAGTCTTGAACCAAGACCTAGCCAATATTCAACTGATAAGCCTTGGTTTGCCAGTCTTAAACCAAGACCCAGCCAATATTTAACTGACAAGCCTTGGTTTGCCAGTCTTGAACCAAGACCCAGCCAATGTCTATGTAACGAGCCTGGGTTTGCCATTGTTGAACCAAGGCCCAGCCAATATTCAACTGACAAGTCGTGGTTTATTACTCTTGGATGAAGACCCAGCCAATGTCTATGTAACGAGCCTTGGTTTGCCAGTCTTGAACCAAGACCCAGCCAATATTCAATTGACAAGTCTTGGTTTACTACTCTTGGAACAAGACCCAGCCATTGTCTATGTAACGAGTCTTGGTTTGCCAGCCTTGATTCAAGAGTTAACCAATATTTAATTGACAAGGCTTCACAGAAAAAAAAAGTTAACTTGAATCACGTGACAAATTCTTGAACCAAAAGAAAATAATGTTGAAAAGTTTTATTGTTTTAAATCAAGACTAAAAATTCTTTAATCGAGTTGAAATTATTTAAACCCAGAAAAATTTCTTGGTTTAAGAATTCTTTTACTTAGATCAAAGAGATGAAGTTCTTCAAAATTATTTACTTGATTCTCATTAATTGTTTTTTCTGTGTTGGCTTATTATCCTTGGCCCAAGGTCCAGCCAATATTCAACTGATGTCTTGGTTTGCCAGTGTTGAACCAAGACCCAGCCACTATTGACATTGTTAAAACTGTAAACTTGACAGTTTTTCTGTCATTTTATTGTTTTGTTTTTTTTCTATGTAGTATATACTTAAAAAAAATTTGATATCCGCTTCTGCTTCAACTATAGTGTCTATGCACTAAAAAAAAAAAATTTTTCCATCTAGAATATTAAATTTTTTACTCGAGTATTTTTGATTTAAAAAAGCTGGTTTTTTTAACCTTAAAATACCACGTTTTATAAGGCTAGTTTTTTGACAGGCAAAAAAATTTATTCTTGTAATTAAAAAAACTTTTGTATTCTAATCATAAGAAGACCAATTTTTTAACCATAAAGAAAAATTTCCTAGGCATAAAAAAACTTTTTTTTCAGTGTGTATTAATTATATTTTATAGCATTATGAAAATAACTATTTTATTAGCCAAGTCGTAATTAACCACAAGTTATCCAATAGCTTTAACATATACATTTATAAATACGTTTAAAATTAAAAAATTCATAATATTTTTATACACACATGTAGATTTAAAACTTTCCCCAATAATGTAGCCGGCCCAATGATTTTTTTTCCTATTATCTTCTAGTCATTATTAACAAGTAACAAATTGTCAACAATAACCTTCAAATAAACACGAGGTTCCAGTCTTTGACTAGAGAATAATAGGAAAAAAATTTTTTACGAGTTTTTTAATCTATTCAATTGGATATGGTTCATTTTATTTACTACGGACTCACTTATTTACTAAGTACAAAAATAAAATAAAAAAATTTATTTGCATATTAAAATGTCATGCGCAGTAATTTTTTGTAAATTGAGGACTATGTTTTTATATTGTAAAATTTTAAGATATTTATTAATTTATTATTTTTTTAGATATTTGTATTGAGTTTTTGATTTTACATGAAAATTGTTAATGGTTTATCTGTTTGTAAACACATAGGTGCCTGATGATGTCAGAATAAAACTGACGAAACGTCACATGTTGAAATAATAAATGAAATATAAAACATAATATCAATTTGGTCTACAACATCCTGATTTAAATTAATTATAGAAGAATTTAGACCTGATTAGAGCAATAATGTAGATATTTATTGTTTAATGAATATTTGTTAGCGAATGCTTAGATTGAAAATTTATTATTTAACAAAAACAATTACATATCGTCAAGATTGATACGGTCTTAAAAAAATTAAAATATAATAATTTACAATGGAGTTTTTAGTATTGATAATTTTAAATATTAAAATTTATAGCAAAATATTGAAAGTATACAGAACGATGTATAAATTCTAAAGTAATATAAAGACTTGACTTTTGAATTTTTTTAAATTAATAAACATTTGTGAAAAATCGTTTATTTTCATCAAAACACAATATTAATTAACATAAATTGTGAAAATAATAAACCGTCACACTCTGTCAGCATATAGAGTTGGCTTATGTGAATGATGAGATGTACATTAACTTATCGATCGTACGGCGTTTTTGGTTTGAAAAAGAATTTTATTTTCAGCGTTTTCTTTATAGATAGTTAAGTAATAATATTCTTATAAAAAAAACTTAATCACTAATATAATTTATTTTGATATGTCATCAGATGATGCTCTGATCAAAAATCGGTTGTTGAAAAAATATAAATATTTTCTTAAATTATTAATTTTCTCTTATTATAAAAAGTAAATTTATTAGTACTGTAAGAATATATTTAATGCTATGGAAAAATTTAAAATTTTAAAATATAAAAAACCATTGCAACTTTAACTTGCCTTCTCAAGGCGGTATGCAGCGATGGGAGAAGGAGTCAGGAGAGGAGTATTAGGATGGGATAAGGGTTAAAAATTTACAATATATACAATATTTACAAAATTCTGCGGTAGCAGAAGAGTTTACTGCCTGTGACGTCTTCGGCTGTTTAAGAGTGGTCGTACTCTTTGCTGTTGTTGGATCGATCATACGGCGTAGGGGTTAGTTATCGGTCTAGTAAGCGCGCGGCTCGGGTTCGAATCTCGATTAGGGCAAATGCAATTTTCGCTTTATTTTCATAATTAATAAAAGTTAGGTCTAAATAAAGAGTCAAAGAAATTAAATTAAAAAAAAATTACAAATAAAAAATTTCTTTTTATTACTTTTTATCAAATAGCATGGGCCAGACTTGAATAGTAACTGTGGCCCAGTCCTGGTAACCAAGCATGGGTCAGATTCGAAAATCGTTATTGATCCAATACTAAAATTCAGTCTTGGCACAATACTTATTTTCAGTCTTGGCACAATATTTATTTTCAGTCTTGGTACAGTACTGATGTTCAGTCTTGGCAGGAAGTTATCATTTGTATGCTTAGACGGACTTGGGCCAAGCTTGGACTTCAAGCTTGCCCCAGAGTTAATGAGCATTGCGCCAAGCCTTGGCCAAGCTCATGCCGATTGTTCTTTCCTCTAAGGGCTCTTAAATTTTAAGATTTTTTTTATCATTGCTTCAAAAAATACGGAATTTAAAAAAAACCGCTCTCATCATGATTTTTTGCTCATAACTTTTTGAAAAATGGTTTAAATAAACAAACTCAAAGAACAAAAAAGTTTCGTTTTTCCATGTACTTTTAGAAAAAAAAATACGAATAATTTTTTGGAAAATTTTATAATTTTTTAAATAAATCCATTATTTAGACACTTGATAGATCTAAATATTTCATTGTTTTGACAATACCAATATCTAATGGAAATATAAGAGCTGAAGAATAATCTGATTCAAATAACGAGCGTATATGTAAACTTTTTAAGAAATTGCGTAAATAAACTACTATTTTGTTTCGATTAATTATGAACAGATATAACAAATTATTTGAAAAATTCTTTGATTGCATACAATTCTAAAAAAATACAGAAAATCGATGTAAAAAATAATTTCCATACCATTATGGGAATAGCTAAAACAATAGAAAAAATTTTTTTTTCGTTGTTTATTTTTGAGTTATTATTATTCTGGGTGATGAACTACTGGTTGATAGAAATTAATTCTGAAAA